CCACTCTAAGTCAAAGAGGGCCATAAAGTGTTCTTGTCATAAGTTGATAAACAGAGTAATGAGAGTCGATATTGGAGCAGGTCTGGTAGCCTAAAACTAACACAATTAACATGCAGCATAACTGGAGATACCCATACTTGTAATTTGTCAGAAAGAACACTCACAACATTTAGATGAAATGCTTGAAAATTTGAGTTCAGATTCAGAGATATTTGTATGAACCTGGGATAAAATACACTCTTATTGAGGAGAGAAAAGAGGCTGATGAGGGATTTATATATCTTTATAAATCTCCAGTAAACAGATAACTAAAGGTCCACGTGCTTCGGTTATTTAATTAACTACAAATTTTTAAATCAATTGCTCTACACGAAGCAGTTGAAATGTTCCAACCAATGATAGGCTTAATATTTACAAAATTTTGATAATTTTTCTGTCATGTCATTATTGAGATGAAAAATTAACTGTCAGGTTAAAAATAGCCTCATTGTGGTTTGAAAGTTCAAACCCAATACGTATTGCCTAAACTTATCCTAGTTTAAGTATGTAGAAGCAATAAGCAATGCACAAAAGGTTAAACAGGGTGATATCCTGAGTAGTCCCTTTCATGATTCTATCTCTCTAGCTTTACTGATTTTGTCCCTTTTTATTTTCTCCTTTCCACACAGCTCTTGTCAACCCAAGAACTTTAAGTACAAGACCCATATCATTCCAAACATGAAATAGATCACATTGTACTAATTACCTGTTGTTAAGAAAAAAATCCTCATTTCCACCTTCAATACAGCCAAAGCAGTTTTGAAACATTCTTAAAAAAAAGACAGAAACCGAAAACAACTTGAACATAATAGAATAAAAATATTCCTTACACTTTCTTACCCTTTTCAAAATTGTCATCTCATTAGTCTACGTAAAGATATAAGTAAACCCAAGAACACCTTCATCCATGTCAGAGAAATCAAGATACTTAGTGTAAATCTGAAATGGTAAATAATGATCTAAGTACAATATCATCAGTAACACTATTTCAGTGGTTAAAATATAAATGAATCTTTTCCTAAGGAAAAGTGATTTATTTCCCCAAGTTTTCCCCATCGGCTGCCATTACAAAATTTTACTTGTAAATACATTGGGAAATAAGTTTTCCATTAAGTCAAGACAGATCTTTATCAAGACATGTACCATGTTAAAACAGTTTTCCCAAGAAAACTTTTTCTTCTACAGGTTTCCACGAAAGTCTCTACAATTATCTCCACCATATATTTAATAAATCAAGTTGAAAAGTTATTGCAATTTAAATGACTGGACAGACATCATATGTCTTTGTGGAAGAAACAGATACATAAAATAAATCAGAAAAATCATAAAAATAATCATAGAAGTAAATCATAAAATACATATAGAGAACCAAATTAAAAAGAAAAAGCAACTTTTGAGTATAGGTCAGACAGATTAATAGCTTTATCTTTGCTATTTTTCCCCATTTATAGTTGAAGAGACTATGGACATAAAACTTGGAACTTGAAGAGACTATGGACATAAAACTTGGAACTTGGAGAAAGCTGTTTTTTAAAAAAATTTCTACATTGCCCCTATAGTATTGAAATTGAAGTGAAAAATACCCTACGTGTGAAGATTGTACATTAGTTTTCTTGCCAAGGCACAATTTCAGAGATAAATCTTTGAATTTGGAAGGCAATCTCCATAGAATCTGCCAGATATGAAAAAGCACAACCATTTTCTTTACGAAGTTTCAATCTGTTGGTGCCAGTTGGACGATGTGATTCGCTCAAAACAAGGACTAAGGAATCTAGTAGGAGTTCTGAGGAAAGAGAGTTTCCTGTCTTTCTATAGAAAGGGCCATGTACACAGGTCCTGAGCTAGCTGGAAAGGAAGCCAAACAAACGTATCTCCAGCTATTACTGGGAATAGTAGAACAGAATGTTGACTGGGAACAGCCAGAGGGTTCAATTACCTATCATTCACTCTCATACTAATTAATTGGTGTTGATCAGTTTAGTTTCAAGAAAAAAAGTTGTAAACTCCTAGAAGAGTTTTAATTTATGCTCATTTTATTTTTTTTAATTGAATACTCTGCTTAGCATGGTACTGTTTATAGAATTCTCCCTGCTGAACTGTAGTTAAACTGAATTGTACACGTGCTAATCCCGGAGAGAAATATGAGGTATTTTTAATTAAAAACATCAATCATGTTAAAGACTGTTAAATCTAGTAGATCACTTTACCTAATAGGAGTTTTAAATCAAATTTCTATTTTTGGAACTTTAAAAAATATTTTTCTACAGTCCCACTTCTACAAAGACATTCTTCAGTTTACACTGGAGACCAGTTTATGTAGTTTGTGTTGGAGCCTAGTCAAATTCTTCCACACTCTTTCTGCGTTTCTTTGTATAATGACCCCCCTTTCCCCAAACTCTATTTCTGTTGTTAATTTACTGAGGATTGTATAGAATGCTGCTTAAATGAGAAACATCAGTACTGAGGATGTAGGCAATGCCTTAATTGATCAGATAAACATGGTCCATTTAGTTTTGCTTTAACTCAAACTTCAAAGTACCAAGCTGTAGGTTTGCTTCATTTTGGCAGAAGCAAAAAGCCTGAAACTCTTCGAAACTCTTCAGGAGGTAAGGAAGCTGTGGAAATTAGGCATCTGCCCAAAATCTAGGCTAAAGAATAAACACTTAAAACTCATTTTAACATCTACTTTGAACTGAAAAGGAAAGGGCTCATGAGAACATTTGAATATAGGAAAAGGACAATTTTCAAGACTGTGAACTTGGACCCATTTGACAACAGAGACTGTGATCTCAGGGCCAGGTGGTACTGGTCTCTCTTCATTAAAGTCCCATCAGCCCTATCAAGATGAAAAAAACTTTCTAAATTTTCCTTTACTCTTCCAACTGCCATATGTGAGCTCTAGGTGTGGACTTGCCTGTGGGGGATTTATATAGGCCTTTTGAACTTTTAACAGAGTCTCTCTTTTGAGTAACCATTTAAAAGAAGATTAAATTTAATTAGACTGTATTTTTTCCCGTGACATGTGCCTTCAAAGTCCATTTTATTACATTCTTTTATCCTAGCAGCGCACTAATGCTGTTGGGTGTAGGGCACCTTCAGATGCAGGAAGAAAGGAGGGAGATGTTTATATACTCAATCCCCTGGGAGTATTTTAGGAATGGCTGACATCTGACATCCATGCCTGCCCAACAACACTGCCTGAGCAAATGTTGCTCAGGAATCAATTCAGACACGTGACAATTTGGATGAGTAATCTGAGCCCTCCATACATTTGTCCTAGCTAGGGGTTCAAGGTGCCCTTGGGTTGGATCATCTATTTATACCCTAATTATTTCTCTTTTGATGTTTTTCTTATTCTCTGAACTTATTGATAATAACTACACTTCGATAGGAGTTGGTACCAACCTACTTATGAAGAAGTATTTGTTTTAACCTGAACCCAGGGTATGATTTACTTAAAGATTATTTCAGAGTCTAACCTGCTCCTAAAACTATGTTTATACATTGACTAGAAATACAAATCAGTGTCAATGCCATTATAGGAATCGATGGAAAGCAAGTACCTCAATCCCTGTTCAACAATTAGGTCATGCAGAAAATCACTAGATGTAGGATTCAGTAATTTTCACTTTTATTGGTAGAATTTGGAGAGAAGGAGAAATATGACAAAGAGAAACAGACATTTAAAGAAAAGGTAAAAGTCAACATTTGCAACCAGGTACTAAAGACTCATTCCTGTTAAAGGAGAGCAGATGTAACTGCTCAACCGCTTCACAATGCCTTTGGTGATAGCTCTTGCTGGAACGTGTGGATGGATGCGGTTTTCTCTCTTCATAATTGCGTCGGTGCTTTAGCCAGAACGCTGTGGCATTTTACCAGCCTTTCCCTTCTTGATCACATTTTTTACAAATACAAAGAAGAAAGAAAATGAACACATTGAAAGTAATTTCTTCTTCATTTTGGTGCGCTATTGAACGACACCGGTGTGCCCCTGCAGCCCTGGCTGCCGGCTTGCTGCTAACTTCCCTGGGCCTCTAAGGCTTGGGCAGAGGGACGCAGAAGATTGTTTGCGGTTTTTCGCTTCTTGCTTTTTCACTGGCGTGACAGTGCCCAGCAGTCTAGTCTATTCTTTCCTTTTTCATTTTTTCACTGGTGTGAAGGAGCACAGTCACTTAGCAAAAGAACGACCCGCGGGTAAAGGGAGCAAAGAAGAAAGAAAGGAGCAGGCCAGCCTGGCCTTTCTCTGTGGCCTGAAACTGACTAAAGTTAATTGCTCACATAAGAAGAATAACTGGTGGTGCTGTAATTGAATTTTTATGGAAATAAACAGGTGGCAGATTTACTATAGCTGTGGGGATAGTAGGGGGCGAAATGCTGTAGCCACATTAACCTGTTTAATTTAATAGCTTCGGTACTCATAGAGGGGAAAAAAAAAAAAAAGCAATGTTGCTCTTTGAGTCAGTTGGATGCCAAATGTAAATAACTACAATTGCCCTAACATGCCCAAGTGGTTGAGCAAAAAAGGGCATTGTGCCAGCTTCGCCTTGGTTTTCATGTTTATTAATTAAGCTCCTGGAAGTTTCAAAAACAGAAGTTTTAACTCACAAAGAACTCTGGGAAAAAAAAGGAAGAAGAAAGAATTTGGCGAAGGGAAGACAGACAGACAGACAGACCGACAGCCAGACAAACGCTCTGTTTCCATTAATGGCACAGCACGAATCTGTGACAGATATTAGGAGCACTCTATACTGGACACAGGAAGGAAGAGCTAAAGGCTAGCTTTGCACGATGCTGCCTCCCAGTGATAAGATTTTGGAAATGCATTTTTATACTTAGAAAAATCAGTGACTGGTGAGATATGCAAAAAACACCATTAGCTTCTTAACGTACCTGACGTTTACTTTTAAGTCAAATACCAGGAATAAAAGTTTGTGTTGAAATTTTTGTCTATTTGACTGCAGGGAAAAACAACATGCACTATTCATCTATCTGTCTATCTATCTATTTCATCATTATTTTTTACCTCATGGATTGAAGCAAATTTTAAAGGAAAAAAGAATGTTAATAAGAAAGAGCAGCACTTACTATCAGGGAGGCACCTCACGAGCATTGTGAACACTCAGGTGAGTGTTCACTCGCATCCTCTGCCAGCTTTCCCAGGCTTGAGTGGTAGGCAGCTTCCTAGATAAAGAATTTAAGATAAAATGGAGTTTACTAAGTATTAAAAAGCACACAAAGACAAATTAGTGTGAGCGTGAAGTAGAGAGTATCCAAAATTCATTTTATCAATAAGAAACACTTTACACACTATTTGAATTACCTCATCAAATACCTAATACCCAAGATTATCAGAATCAGAGAAATTCAGCCAAACGTTGCAATGGAGCTAAACGGTTTAAACAAACCCAAGACTAAGCTGGCAAGAAGTCAGAGAGCCTGATGGGTGCTCTTTCCTCTTATCAGTTTTGTTTTTAGTCCCATAAACCTTTAGTAAGTCCTTGCTGAGTGCATCACATTTTACTGACTGCACTTTAGGATGTCAACTGAAGACCGATTAACTTCATAAATTTGAAAGGAGAGCTTAAAGCGTTCTTCTCATGAAGGGTTGGAGCTTGCCGGTGACCATTCTGACAGACTGAGAAGTGCAGCTTCTGGCCAGAAGCTGGAAACGAGCATATAGAGGAAAGGATAGGAAAAATAAGACGGATTTATGGCTAAAGGGTGACTAAGTATACGTATTCAGCAGGTCATGGAAGGAGATATAAATATTCACAAAGGGGAGGCACAGCATGTATAACATGCATCCCATGTTCACTCTAGGGTGAAGACTTAACATTTAAATGTATTACAATTAGACCTTATACATCAAAACGTGAACCAGAGGACACAAAGAACCTCTATGCGGCAGCCTCCAAAGACGGGCCAGGAGCACTTCATGGTCAATGGTCTCTATCAGGAAGGAATGCTGGTCAGTTGCTGTGTCAAAACTGTGAAAGGGGCTGGGTACAGTGACTTACGCCTGTAATCCCAGTACTTTGGGAGGCCGAGGCAGGTGGATCACCTGAGGTCAGGAGTTCGAGACCAGCCTGACCAACATGGCAAAACCTCATCTCTACTAAAAATAAAAAATTAGCCAGGTGTGGTAGCAGGCACCTGTAATACCAGCTACTCTGGAAGCTGAGGCAGGAGAATCACTTGAACCTGGGAGGTGGAGGTTGCAGTGAGCCGAGATCGTGCCATTGTTCTCCAGCCTGGTCAACAAGAGCGAAACTCCGTCTCAAAAAATAAAAATAAAAAATAAATTTAAAAATAAAAACTGAAAGGGAGGGGCAGCATCAGGCAGTTGGTTCCCATCGGTGGCAGAAGGAATCTTTCAAAAGGGCTGGTTTCTGTTTAACATCTAGAGAAGAGAGCCTAGTGGCGTTTAGCAAAGGAGCAGGTATACGAGGCACATCTGACCTCCCATCCTGTCGTAGCTATGAACTCCATTTTTAAGGTTTCTCTGAGGTCCCCTTGGCCAAGAAGGGGTCTATCCAATTGGTTTAGGGGCTTAGGATTTTATTTTTTTTCTCAAACGTCACTTTTACCCCACATGCTAATGTCTGTTGGTGCACAGCCTCAGGCTCTTCTCTCCTTCCTCTGTATTTTCTCCACATAACTGACCTCATTTCCCATCTGTGGCCCAAAGACTTCCATATTTATTTCATTGCCAAATCAGTTCGTATGCTTTATCCTCATGTCTAATTTCTCACTCAACATCTTCATATGAATGTGTGTCAGGCCCCTCAAATATTATAGGTCTAAGATCATTGGCCCCAATCTTATTCTCATTCAGTATATACATAATGAATATATATACATATTTATGTATATCCTGCTATGCAAACCAGAAATATAAGAACACTGTTTTACATTTTCTACTGTCTCACACCCCGTATTCAATCCATCACCAACAGTCAATCATGAGTCCTATTAATATTACTTCTTAAATGTCTCATAACTCTACCTATTTCTACATCCATACAACAAACTCTCACTGCAACAGTTCAATAACATACCTTGCCACTCTCTGTTCATACCCATACTGCACCCAGAGAATTCTTTTACGTGTCTAATCATGATATTATATCTTCCCTGCTTAAAGCCACACACTTGATTTCTCATTGATGTTCAGATCAGAGAAAATCCTGCAAGTTCAGGTCCCTGTCTACTTTTCAGGCTCCTCTTGGCCACTCTGAAACCCACATTCCTCACTCCAGGTGTACTGTCTTCTGTTTGCTTCTCAAGCACCCTCTTCTCTCCTGCTATGGAATCACTGCACAGACTCCTTTGTATGTGCTGTTTAACACCTACCTCTGCCTTAGAACTCATCTGAAATATCACTTGCTGAAGTAAGACTTTTCCTACCTTTCCCATTTTCTCCTCCAAAACTCCCTACACACATAGACATACAGACACACACGTCCCTGGACAACAGAAGGTTCCCCTGTAACACAAGCTTATAGAATTATCTTAAGCAGTGACTGTCTAGCTTGTACCACTAAATCATCAGTGCTATAAAAGCAAAGACCATGCCAAGATTTGCTCATCATTGTACCCCTGACACCTAGCACAAAGCATGAATCTTGGTTGCTACTAAATAAATACTTGTTAAATGACCATCCAGGAGTGCAATATATAATTGCTCAGTATCTCTACATCTTCTAAGCACAGGACAAAATAGAGACATGAAAAGAATCATCAACCCAACATCATTCAGGGTTTTAATGATATTTTTAATTTCCATAATTCATCTATGAATGCAATACTGCTTTGGATTTTAGTGCTTTAACAGTTAAGGGTAATTCCAGAAGCTTGACATTTTCTATCATAATAGCCCTACTCCATGGTGCAGATACCCAGTTGGGGATTCTGCCAGTTGCTTAAGAGACGTATTCCAGTCGTATGCTCAGAAAAATAACCACAAAACTGTACTACCTAGAGGCCAACTGAGATCAAAACTCAATTTATAACCTGAAGTACAATTTGTCATTCTGATCAGCAGAGACAGAGTTATTCTCAGTCTCTGGGAATTAGGATAGCTCCGAGTTGGTGTTTAACAATATCCCAAAGCTCTGGTTATTTCCGTTTTCCAGGGCATGTTTACTGTATGTATTTTTACTATACGGAATTTTATAGCTCCTTTGCATTCTGTTCACATTCCATTGCGTTCTATTCACATATAAATAATACCTGGCATGAAATGTCTGTGTAGCCAGATTCTAGGAAGTATTTTATCAGCATGACCTAAAATGCAAGCAGTTTATTTTTGTCACAAAGTTAAAACAGTAACATTTGGTACCTGAAAATGTTTATGTGAATGTTGACCCCTAAAAGCACATTACCCTTAGAATGTAATATCATTATTCATGCTGTTTGCTTGATCATTGATGTAAAAGAGCAGTAGCTCTTTGGAATTTTCTTCTCCAAAAGGACAGCATTTTCCAGCCATTCTGAATAAACCCTCAAACAAAGAATAGGCAAACCAGATTAAAAGCTATTTATCTGCAATATCTGCAATAGCCAAAGATCCTTTGCTGAAGTCTGGGAAGATGTATTGCACAAACAAGTGATATTATTGCTGAGTCCATCTTCAAAGAATTCTTGATTATGGAGTTAACTCAGGTCTGAGAATTGGGAGAGAATGAGCAACTCCCCATAATGATGACCCAGGTCAGACCTATACTTCCCAGGTGTGGGGTGTTTTCCATAACACAAATCAAGAAGGACTAATGTACTATCAGCTATTTCAGTCAAGGGACCCAGTGACCGGTGAACCACTACCAAAGATTTCTGTAATATACAACACTCTGCTGATGAACTTGCCCTGCTGCCTTTTATGATAACCACAATGATTTTGTGTCCTTCCTTTGAAGGCTGCTACTTGGCCTCTGCTGCCCTAGAATAGTTTCCTTCTCATTTCAATCAGGGAAACCATGTCAACTGAAGCCTCTGCCATCAACATCCTCAGCTTAGGAAGAACAGTAGAAAAAACTCTCCTCAAAACTCCCTTCACCAACACATTCCTCAAGATATTGGTAAAGAAATTATCTTCTAGATATCTTGGGTAACAAATTAGGATGAAGGTGATTTATGTATATTTCCACCCCAGAGTACTTGCTACCCTTCCCTGCATTATTTAAGAGATTCCTAGGATCTCAACTTCACTATCCCAAGCCTCCATGAAACCCAGATTATAACCAAGCAAATGAGCCAGGAATCAGACCCACCGTAGCCACTCTGGGTAACTCTTCCAATATAGAAGCTCAGAGTGATACATTGATTCTTTTGAAAAATTACACGTTACCTGTGCAAGGTCAATCACTAGTACACATAGTCCCAAGTTTTGCTGTCATCAGATAAAAGAAAGAAATCTTCTCGCCCAGATTTTACAATGCATTTGACTCCTCTGAGACATGTTGAGATTTAACCAGTAGTTCAAGTCTGGAGATAAACGGGGATGGGGGTGGTGGTCATGGTTCTAAGCGGTAAACAGATTCTGTCTTGCAAAGTCAGCCTCCGAAAAAGAAAGGGAATACAGTCTCCAAGCAAGAAAAGCCACCTCCATCGAAGAAGGGAGGATGCACTTCTGTGATGCCCTTATGAGTGCTGCACTGGCAAATGTTTAACATCCGTTCTCCGGCAAGGGGGTTAGGGACAGCCCTGATTTGTGGCATTTCAAATGCTTGTAACTGACTTCAAATTGTGAACATATCATGGCCACAGAGTAGAGATGAGATAAATGCAGTTGATCTCAGGAGCCGGCAAGAGCTGCTTCCAGCACACAATACAGAGCGGGGAAAGGCTATGAGTTCAAGGCTTTGGAATCACCCCACATTGTCTAATTCTGATGCTTAGGATGCTCCAGTCCTATAGTTTTCTGAGCATCGTTCTCTCTCACTTTCTCATACAAGGACTGGCAAGACTCTAAAATCAACTGATAGTACAATTTAGCGATCATAATATCAAACTTGGAGTTTGATTTTCACCTACACGAAAGTTGAAAGAATTGGAGAGAATTGAGACTGTGTTAGGATTGTGAGAGTTCCAGGAACTCAGTCTTTGCCATAATCAATAATTTAAGAAGATTAACTTATCATTTATCTTTTTTTTTTTTTTTTTAGCTATTCGGTGTCCTCCAAACATCCCCAGCATCTCTACAGTCTTTTATCTTTCCAATGACAGTGGCAACTTGGTTTCCCCAAAACCTTGCCTTGAATAGGCATTTCATTCTAAGAGAGCCTTTCATTACAGGGACCAGAGGCACTGTTCATTTAGCTCTTTCACCGTGGCATAGGATGGGTTACTAGGGTCATGTCTGTAAGGACAAATGGAATTTCGCTCCTTTTGGCCCCAGTCTGAAAATCAATTCCACTTACTGACTTTTCACTCCACTTTCCCTAAAACTCTATTACATTAAACTGAATCCAAAGTATGATTTTCTGTACTACTGAGGTCTTTAGCTCAAAGGAAAATAAACCAAATATGTTTCAATTAAGGGAAGCAAATAATTTATGGCAAAGATATTAGTTAGCTCACAGAGTTATATGAAACTTAGCCAAGAAGGCTCAGAAAGTCAGTGGGAACCGAGGGAGTTTTCTCAACAAGAAACGCTGCATAGGAAAAGGCTAGATTGGGACACTACAGAGTCTCTAGCTCGCACTATCACCTCTGTTCCAGTCTCTGCTGCTGCTGCTACTGTGGCTCTGTGGATCGTTTTTCCTCTATCCTCCAGATGGGACCACCTGACTGTCAAACCAAGGCTATGTGCCTGTGTCCTCTCTGCCTGGGTATAGAAAGACAAAGCATATGACCTCTTCATCCTTGGACATGAAGCCCTGCCTTCTGCCAAGACTTGAAAACTCAATGTGGAAAGAGTGTTCATATGCCCAGTAGTCTGAAATGATCACAATTGTGTTTGATAGATTAGGAATTAGATGCTTTCATAGAACAGTTTCAAGGGACTGGGGAGCAGAAAGTGAGACTACAATAAAGAGAAGAGTAAATTAGATAAAGAAGAACAATTACAGGAACTAATGATGACAGACTAATCTTTTAAGAAGTTTCATAGAAGTAGAGGAGACAGTATCTTGAAGGGCAATGCAGATTTGGAAGTAATGCTTTGTTTCTTTTCTTTAAAAGAGGTAAATTCAACTCAATCAGAGAATGCACTTAAGAGAAAAAGACTGAATTCAGTAATTATGGGGATAATTGAGGAATGAATGGAAATGGGTAAAATTAAGAGCACGTGTGTGGATTAACATTCTAAAAGAAGAGGGTAATACTTTCCCTAAAATAGGAGACAGGAAAAGAACTAATGATGACAATGATATCATAAATCAAAGAGGGGCATGTTACAGTTGTTTGTTAAAGGAGATCAGGCAGCCTTGATCTTTTCACTTCAACAGGACATAAGAGCAGCGTCCAAAGCTGAAGGAATGAGGCAGAGTTAGAAACCCAGGATAAGGGAAAAACATTTAGAAAAGCTACCATGAACAGTGATAATGAATGGGGCATGAATCTACTAGTGGAATTGGGGATCACTTCCTATCTGACTGACTAAAAAGCTGTTTAATAATAGCCACTGAAGTGAAGCTGATAGATTTTTCCATTAGGAATAACATATACTAAATCCAGCTTCCACAGCCCTAGTAACAGCCTTCAGTGTGGTTATACGAACAACAGAGGCAGAAGATTTTAGCCTCACATCCCCCAACACACATCAAATGCGCAGCTACTCACCTTCTTGTAGATGTAGTAAGTAGAATAAAATATTGCAAGAGGATGAAGTGATTGTGACAAATGATAAATGAGTACCAAATATAGCTGTCTATGACAGCTTTATCTGTGGTTTTGTGGTGTCTTTGATGCTTATTAAAGGAACTAGAATTTAACCCCCCATTAAGAGTCCAGATCAGGCCTTGGATTCACCTTGGTCTTCTGAGGTTTGTCTCTTTTCCACAGAATCTTCCAGGTGCATTTTTATAATGACACTCTATCAAGCCACTGAGATCAACTGCCAGAGCTCAATCTGCTACAGGAATCTTGCTAGAAGAAAAGAATGTTTCATCAGAGACAGTCATTCATCCCGGCCCACACCTCTCCTGCTCTGATCTTCCACTGTTAAAAGCATAACACACTGGAGGAAGATTGTGCTATATTTCATGCGTGCTCTGCGCCACCACCAAGGGACAGTCCCATCTGTTATTTGCTCTCAGCTTTGCTTACTGATAAAACAGGAAGGACAGCTTGCTGATGGGCTCTTTGAAGCAAATGGATCCTCTCTTTCCTGCAATTAATGTTTATAAATTATTTCTACAGTAGACAGCATGTATGGTACCATGATTTCAAAATTAGTTTCAATAAATTAAGGGCCTGCATTCATTACAAGAGGAGCTTGATTACAGTGCAACTCATGGAGTTTACTGTTGCGCTCTACCTTTTGTGAAAATTGCTGCATGAAATTAAACACTCTCATTAATTTTGTTGATTATCATCTCCTAGTAACATCTTACGATCATATGTTCACTTATTGAAATTTCACTTTATGTATATGATCGAGTTTTAGTTGTTCACAGAAAACAGGATTCAGGACACTTCAAAATTTCAGAGACTAGGTTAATAGTCCTCTGGCTTCAGCAAATGGAAATGGCTTTTGAGAACAAAGCGCAAATATAACTGAAGTGATATGGGTTTTTTTTTTTCTCCCAGAATATTCTGTTGTTCAATCATATGCCATTTTTAGAGTAGAGAAATAATTATATACTTTATGGCTTCTGCACTATTTTCAAAAGGATTTTAGAAGATGAATCTCTTTTTCTAAATTGGAAAACATCCTTTTAACTCAGCTTTTCATGTTTCCTTTTTATTTCCTTGCCTCAATGTCTGTGACCAAATTTGTCTATGTTTTCTTTGTAAACTAGTTCTTTTTCCATGTTAGGTAATGGTATGTTTTCTTTAAAAAAAAAAAAAAAGAAAGAAAAAAAAAGTGACCTTGAAATTTGTATTAGGCTAGCCACTTTTAAAGCTTTAGACTGGGAATTTTAATTTCCAAGCAACACATATCAGTTCCAAGTACAGTTGTCCCTCAATACCCATGGGCTTTGGGGCATTGACTCCAGGACCTCCTGCAGATCCCCAAATCCACAGATGCTCAAGTCTCTGATATAAAATGGTGTGGTATTTGCATATAACCTACTCACATATTACCATACACTTTAAATTATATCTAGATTATGTATAATACCTAACACAATATAAATGCTGTGTAAATGGTCGTTATACTGTTTTGCTTAAGGAATGAGAAGAAAAAGCCGGAACATGTTTGGTACAGATGAAAGTTTTTTTTCCCAAATATTTTCAATCTGATTTGTTGACTCTACAGATGTGGAACCCCCAAAGACAAAGGGCTGATTGTACAAACAAGAAAAAAATTGAGTCACAGTTTTGAAAGACTCTAGATAGGAGAGAAAAGCTTCTAAGCAATTTAAGAGTCATTCAAAGACTCTTAAAAGCTCAAGGAGGCCACCACCTCTTTATCCTTGTATGAGGTGGTTGAGAAACAGCAGACGTATAAGGAGAGAGGATCAAGGGGAGAACAGGAGATACCAAGAGTTCTAGCTGAGAAAAAAAGAAAAAGATCACTCTATTTTATTTGATAGAGCTACTCCTTGGTACACATTAATAATAGTAAAATGAAAGAAAAAAATACTGAAGCACAGAGAAAGAAAAATAGGTATGAAGCATCCTCATGCTATTAACAGGATGTATTTAGGAAAAGCAATTTTATAAAAATGCAGTCCAGCACTGTGGCTTATGCCTGTAATCCCAGCACTTTGAGAGGCCAAGGTGGACAGATCACCTGAGGTCAGGAGTTCGAGACCAGCCTGGCCAACATGGCAAAACCCTGTGTCTACTAAAAATACAAAATTAGCCCAGTGTGTGGCGGGCACCGGTAATCCCAGCTACTTGGGAGGCTGAAGCAGGGAGAATCACTTGAACCCAGGAGGCAGAGGTTGCAGCAAGCTGAGATCGCACCATTGCACTCCCGCCTGGGTGACAAGAGCAAGACTCTGTCTCAAAAAAAAAAAAAAAAAAAATGCATCCCAGTGGTATTGCATACTCTCTGGCCATTTCATTTATTTTATAATAACCCATAGAAGGCATGATCTATATTGCTTGTGCTCATTACACTATGAGAGTAAACTAGAAAGCATGGCAGAGATTTAGACTACAACTAATTGTGCAATATACTATATATATATACACACACACACATATATATATAAAAAAAAATTTTTTTTTTGAGACGGAGTCTCGCTCTGTCGCCCAGGCTGGAGTGCAGTGGCACGATCTCAGCTCACTGCAAGTTCCGCCTCCTGGGTTCACGCCATTCTCCTGCCTCAGCCTCCCGAGTAGCTGGGACTACAGACGCACGTTGCCACGCCCGGCTAACTTTTTGTATTTTTTTAGTAGAGATGGGGTTTCACCATGTTAGCCAGAATGGTCTCAATCTCCTGACCTTGTGATCTGTCCACCTCGGCCTCCCAAAGTGCTGGGATTACAGGCGTGAGCCACCGAGCCCGACCACATTAATTGTTTTAAGATTAACTTTAGCAGAATTTGAATTACAACTTTATCAACTCCATCTTTCTATGAGAGATAAAACAAGGCCCCTTTGAGATCATACCCACTAATAAAGAGTAGAAATAATAAAATATTCAGTGAGGTTTTAGTTGTGATTAAATTTGTTTTATTTATTTATTTTTTAACCTTTCAAGTACCCAGGCATTCTTAGCAGAATAAGAATAGAAGAGGTATTCAAAACAGCCCTGATTAAATGGAGAAGTGTTCAGAAACTAATAGAACACAGTTATGAAGAGATAAGTAGAGTATAATTCATTTTTTAAAATTTCTTCAGTGGAATTAACAGAAGTAATTACCAACAAAGTAATGCTATTATTAAAAACAGAAAGGATATTACTGTCTTATGTGTGATGAATAAGACCAGTGAAATAATTTTCCTACTAAACTTAGTCATTTCTCTTTGGGGAAATTTGGGTTAAGTTAGGTGCCATTAGAATGATTAGACATTCAGCAAAACACTAAGTCCAGTTTATATTCCTTAAGTCATTAAGCTCATTGAAATATTCACAGAGGTCAGAGGAGAAAATGGATTAAGACGTAAGATATTTTAAAAAGAAAAGAAAAATATCTTATGCATGAGCTCAGAGAATGTCTACCATGTAACTGAGTTCAGCCGGAAATGTTGACTGTCTAGTTTCAGAATTCCTAAGAACATACAATTTTTAAAAAATCAAAAATGTAATATGAGAGGTTGAAGTTAAGCCCAGGGAAATATACACAGAACCTGAAAGACACTAGCCTTTCTTCTAGTCTTTCTAAACACACGTGCAGTCATCTGTTTCAAATATTTTCATGCCATCCTTCTTACAGGCCTACTTATGATGATCAGTTCCATTATTACCCCTTGATACAGTTTAGAAAACAAATTCGTGCACTAAGTAAATGGACCAAATCGTAAGTCACTGCCTCTTGCTCCAGAGTTGGCTGCTTTGATTACTCCTACACTTAACTAGTCAACTTTAAAGAAAAAAAAAATTTTTCTGCGAAGGAAATTAAGTGCCTGTTTTCAGAGAGCTAAAAGCAATCAAGGCATCTACTGTGTTATTTTCCTATCCAAGTTGACTCATGTTTAAGGCTGACTAGGAAGACATAATCACTGTCTGCTAATAACAAGTAGTTTTCTTTTGATAAAAAATTTGAAAGAGTTTCTAATGCTTTATTTTATAATTTTCAGTTTTCTATTGGAGTGACATAGTGAAAGCGAGTAGCATAGGGCTAGTATTCAAGAAAGCACCAAGTTCTTAAATAAAACAGCATGGTGTGTGACTACAAAGGAATAAAATTGTTTATGTATTAAAACTACCTGCCATTCTAATGGATATTTTTGTTCAAAGGAGTCTCCCCAAGAAGCTATTATTCCATTGATAGCGTTGTTCTAAGTATTTTGAAAACACCACTTTTGGAATTGACTTTGTTTGCATTTCCTGCCATACAATAAATCAGGCAGTTTAGCTTTGTTGTACCCCATATAATAGCTCAAATTCTGCTACCTCCCCTAATATATCAAAATTAATATCTTTTTTTTTTTTTTTTCTTAGGCAGAATCTTACTCTGTTGCCCAGGCTGGATTTCAGGGCATGATTTCAGCTCACTACAACCTCTGCCTCCCTGGTGCTAGCAATACTCATGTCTCAACCTCCTGAATAGCTGGAATGACAGGCACACACGACCACACCTGGCTAATTTTTGTATTTTTAGTAGAGACAGGGTTTCTCCACGTTGGCCAGGCTGGTCTCGAATTCCTGACATCAGGTGATCCGCCCGCCTTGGCATCCCAAAGAGCTGGGATTACAGGCGTGAGCTACGGTGCCCAACCCTAAAATTAATATTTTTAACTCAATATTTACTGCCTCCCCATTTCACTGACAGAATCATATAATTAAACTAAAGAATTTAAAAAAGAAAAGAAATTATGGTTAGAGCTATAGATGTATTGTTGTTGTTGTTGTTGTTTTGAGACAGGGTCTCACTCTGTCATCCAGCCTCAAGTTCAATGGCACAGTCCTAGGATCCTAATTCACTGCAGCCTTAAACTCCTGGGCTCAGGTGATCCTTCTGCCTCTACCTCCCAAAGTGTTAGGATTACAGGTGTGAGCCGCCCTGCCTGGCCTCGAACTATCAATTTAAATACAGAAAATTTTAAATACTTAAAATTGTGCATCTTGGCCAAGTGCGGTGGCATATACCTGTAATCCCAGCACTTTGGGAGGGTGAAGAGGGAGGATCACTTGAACCCAGGAGTTCAAGACCAGCCTGAGTAACATAGTGACATCCCCTCTCTACAGGAAATTTAAAAATCAGTCAGACATGGTGGCACATACCTGCTACTCAGTTACAGCTTCTCAGGAGGCTGAGTTGGGAGGATCACTTGAGCCCAGGAAGTCAAGGCTGCAGTGAGCCATGATCATGCCACTGCACTCCAGTCTGGGTGACAGAACAAGAACTTGTCTAAAACACAAACAAACATACAACAACAACAACAAATATGTGTGTGTGTGTGTGTGTGTATACATATATATCACCAGATAAATGTTTTTTTTTATATATATGTGTGTGTGTATATATATATCTCTCTCACTAGATGAATGTTTAGAAAGGAAAGTTACCCACATAGTCCAGCTGAAATGCCACAAAACTAGTTAACACATTTTGGTCCTCAAATGTCACATTAAGCCATCTCAATACTACTGCAAATTCCATAGCCAGCTTGGGACTATTCCTCATTCATAGCATAATTGTTTACAATTCAAAGAATGAAAATGTTCCTTCATTTAGGGAGACAAAAATTTGAAGATCAAAACTTGTTAAACTATAATCTCCAAGATAAAAATGCCTTTCATTTATTAA